ATTTTTTTTTTTTTTTTTTTTTAATAATGGATGCAAAAACACGATATTGTTATAAACAGGATATTTACAGATATTTTTTCTATTACACAAATAAAATCTATTTTAGTTTTTTGGGGGGGTTTTTTTTTTTTAAAACAAAAGAAAAATTAACTTTTCCGCCGCGCATTTTGTGATTTTCTACTAAATACTTCTTTTTTCTTCCAAATAATAAATTACGCATTCATTTATTCAATTTCGTAATCATGTTTCAAAAACAAAAAAGGATCGTCTGACCACCCCCCTTTTTTTTTCTTTGCAACATTTCTTTTATTATGTGTTACTAAATGATCTCGGAAATTGGACTTCCGATAGATAAAATTGGAAATTGATCATTTCCATTTTTGGATTATAAAAGCAAAAAGATGCATTCTTCTTTTTTTCTTTTTTTCCCATCAATATTAAGGAAAGTAATATTGGCAAAATAGATAAGATTTCGCATAATAAATGATAATAAATGCTGATTATAAATGATTACAACATAATAATAAATGCTAATTTTACATGATTACATGTGTAAACTTAATTTATTACAATAATTTCACTTTTGTTACTCACGCCGTACATTATCTTGCATATGAAAAAAAAAAAAAAAAAAAAATTTTTTTAAAAAAAAATTTAAATATAAAATTTGACTTCCCCCCAAAAAATTATATATAAAAAAAAAAAAAATAATCTTTTTTGAAAAAAAATTTTTTATAACACTAGAAGGTTATATAATAACAAGAAAAGAAAAAAAGAAAGAAAGAAAATAATAACACGTTTTTTTTATTGACATTTTGAAAAGTAAACGTTTTTTATGCCGTTTTGAAAAAGTACAAAAAGAACACATTTTTTGTTAACATTTTGAGAAGAGTCAAACAAAGAAAAAAAAAAACCAATAATAATATATATATATAGTTTTTATATATTTTCTTTTAATAATACACTTCTTTGAAAGAAACAGACATTCTACCTCCTTATTTATCTATCCTTCAATAATATTTATTATTTAAAATGTCTAACGAACAAGGAACTTACTCAGTTTTTGGCGTTAATAACTCAACACTAATTCCCTTTCCCGATTTTTATGATACTATGTACTTTGGTGGGGACTCCAAGACTTATAGAGAACTCGTTTACACTTCAAGAATCAAGGATACTCTTAATCTTACTATTGAGGTTCTTACGAATGACTCAAAAACGTCCAGACTTGCATTAAGAAATGATAGAAAGAAGTCTAAAGGGGAACAAATTGAAATCCCAAGACCTCAAAACGCTTGGATCATTTATCGTAGAGACAAATATGTAACTCCCGAATTTGAAGGAATAAAACCATGTATCGCCTCAAAAGCAATAGGCGAAAGATGGAAAACCGAAAGTAGCGAAGTTGTGGAATATTTTGTTGCACTTTCTATGTTGGCATTAGAAAATCATCATAACAAATATGGGAATTATAAATACAAACCTAAATCAAAAGCCTCCAAAAAATTCAAGAACCGTCAAAGACAACAACATAAAAGGAATACATCTCCTGAAACTGAGGAAACAACATTGAATCAAGACTTGCCTCAATTAGTTGTAAATCCTCCATCATCAATTAAAGAATATCCAACTCCGGTATCATCCATTCAACTTTCTCCCGTTACTGATTTCTCGGAACAAGCGAATGAAATTTCGTATCTCATGACCCCGGCATCATCAAATCATCAATCGCCTGTAACTTCTCAATATGGTTCCTCGGATATCTTAACCCCGGAATCATTAAATCAACAAACACCTATAACTTCTGAAGATATTTTGTCGTCAATGATGTATCCGCAATTCTCCGAGATAACACCCATTTCAACATACAACAATAATTCACGTGTGTTTTCCGAAGATTTTTTGAAATTTTTATATAGTGCTGATATCCTAGCTCTTCAACCTTCAACATATGTGACTTATAATACTGGTATCCCAGATATGACCTTTAATACTGATATCCCAGCAATCCCGGCACCCGATATGACTCTTAATGATATGACTTTTGTTCCAGCAACCCCAGCACCCGATACTGATATCCCAGCAACCCTGGAAACCCTTACCAAATTTATTTTCACAAACATGAACGATCAAAATAAAGATTTTGATCTTTATCCAGAAAGTGAACGACAAATACCTAATATTACTCCACCAGTAGCAGAACCGATGACAACAAGCATGCAAAACCAGATTTTTCAAGATATTTTTCAATACGACAGCAACGCTTTATTCTCGATCCATGCAACACCTGTGGAACATTACTACGACGGCTCATCCTTTTAATAAGCAAAAATAATTATTACCACAAAAACACAACAAACTCATTCTCATAGTTTCTGTAGCGCCTAAGGCGCTACAGGAACTATAAGACGAGTTTGTTGTATTTCTGTGATACTTGAATTATTTTTCCTTGTTATTTGGACAATCGATTTCTTTATTACAATCGTCTTCCTTACTACTACGATCGCTTCCCTTATTGCGATCCCTTATTACATATTTTAACATATATATTATATACGTAAATATGCACAAAGAACAAAAGATATTCGCGCTTGTGGAGATACTTGTGCAAAAACTTTAATATTATCCGAAGGACATTAGTTCGAAGGATTATTTATATTTATATGTATAATATATATGCTAAAATCAACAAAATCCAAAAAAAAAAAAAAATTATTATTTATATACCCTTTTATATAGAAGATATTTTTAACGAATTAAATCGAACATTTTTTCTTATTTTATATACCTCAAACATTTTTCTTATCAACGATATTCTTATTTTTTTTTTATTTTTTTGTATAACAATTATATTTTATTATATATTTTATATTTTATTTTTATTTAAATAAAAATTTTTTTTAAAAAAAATGATGAAAATGTGATATTGGTCTGATTTACTGAAAATACAAGGTATAAAATAAGATCTGATGTATTTCTAAAATATTCTTTTAAAATGCCAGTTATAGCGTTGTTGGGGGGGCATTGGGCTTTGATTTAATAACAGTATGGATTTTTTCATAACTATGTCTAAAAAAAAGCGTTATCAAAAATCCAAATTACGAGTCAAAGAACCAATTCAACAAATTCATATAATAACGGCATAAGAGAGAGAGAGAATAAAAATTAAAAAAAAAAAATTCGCTGAATTTATTTATCTCATCTTTGCTTTGCCACCACTAATTATATGATAAATGAAATCTGCGGATTGCGTATTGCGTAGCAAAACTTAGTTTAAATAGTTAAGTACGTAATTTGTGTAATACGCCCTAGCCTACTTTCCTAAAAATACAGACAATAACCACAAAAACCCTCAGTTAAACATGATAATCATTCCCTAATCATTCTTCGATCTACATATTTGCTTGTTACATTTTTTTAGTGCTACATACTATCAATGAAACAAAAGAAAAAAGGAACTGTTTCATTTTTACAATCAATTTCACGTATTTTAAAAAAATTGTATAAAAATCATCGGAATTTGAAATTTTCTTCTTAGGTACTGTGCGGAGAAAGTAACAAACTGCGTATTAAAAAAAATAATACCTCGCGCAGTAAAAAAAAAATAGTGAGAAACTTTTACGCAGTAAAAACATCCAAGCAGAAAAAACTTTTTTCCTTTACATTAACCTACGTAATCGTGTAACATTTGTGGGTATTTGTGGTATTTATAGTTACAATAGTTATAACATATTGATTTTCCAAAATGTGTTGACAATAACAACTTTTTGGATTTTCAAACTAAACCATTACTAATAGTTGATTTGAATTAATTACCATAATTAATAAATGTCTTTGTTATTAACCGGAGTGTGACTGCGAATTTTTATTTAATATAAGGAAAACAATTGGTACACAACATAAAAAAAATTTTTTGCTATTGTTTGAAATATTTGATAAAATTAGAAATATTATTATTACACACATTACACAATCTAATATTGTATCTCTTTATCTTTAACTTAAAAAAAAAAAAGATCTCTCAAAAGATATTGCGCAAATGTGGGTAAACGAACCAAAAGAAGTCAAGGAATTATTTGAAGCTTTGTCAAGAATGTCAGAAAAAATGCACGTCGAAAGGTATGGAAATTATAAATATAAGCNAAAAAAAAAAAAAAAATAAAAAACAAAACCCTTTTTATAAATAATTTATAAACATTATTATTTTTATTTATACAAATTGTTTTATTTTTTATTTTTTATTTTTTTCTTTCTTCCTCTTTTTTTTCTTTTACAATGATTACTTCACTATTGACACCTGACTCTTATGTTAAACATAAACATAATAATAATTACTTGGTTTTTGACGTAAATTCTAAAACTAAAAACGATGAAGAACTTTTAAAATATACCGACTATAAATTTAATATTGAACCTGAGATTCTCCTGTCCAATTCCACAACCACTCGATTGGCAGTAAGAAATAAGAAAAAAGGTATAAACAAAATTCCACGTCCTCAAAATGCATGGATTATTTATCGTAGAGACAAGAGTGTGGAATTGAGACGTGATGTTGCAAGAAGGAAACAAAAATCTAAAGATCTCTCAAAAGATATTGCGCAAATGTGGGAAAACGAACCAAAAGAAGTCAAGGAATTATTTGAAGCTTTGTCAAGAATGTCAGAAAAAATGCACGTCGAAAGGTATGGAAATTATAAATATAAGCCAAAAAGAATGAAATCAACATTGGAATCATCAGAAAAATTAAATAAACCATATAAGCAAAGGAGATTCAAATTACACTCTACGTACGAAAAACCATTATACGTCGAAACGTGTGGAAATTATAAAACATATAAGCCAAGGATAACTAAATCATTGGAATCATCAAATTCAAATTCACAAAAATCACCAGATTTATCAAATTCATTATCTGAATTCGCCGTAATCGCATTGACATACGAACACACATCATCAGAACTCAAATCATTAAAGTCCGAACCTTCACCGGAAGAATATGGCTCTCGGCGGAACGCAATGATAATTAATCCGTATAAAAATTTTCCTTATAATATTATGAACATTATGAACACATAGAATTCATATTAAAGACATTATTAATTTTGAGTCCATTCATGCAAAAAAAAAAAAAAAATTAATGTTATTAAAAAAAGGTGAGAATGTATATAATTTCATTAATTAAATCATCACGAATTTTTTTTTTTATATTATATTCAGTGTGATCATGTACAAACGGCATTTTTCAGTATTAGAAAACAGATTTTTTTTTCGGTTTTTTTTTATTGTATAATCTAAATTACATTTTGCAATGTTTTTTTAAAAAAAATTTATTTAATACAAATAAATAATATATTCCTTATTTTTTAATATTAATAATTAATTACTATAATTATCTGCCGTTAATACGTAAAAGTACAACATTCGTTGCATACATATTCTTATGAATAAAATACATAGATAGCTGAGAAATTTGTTCCGGCAATCAATTATGTTTTACATATTTTAAGTACGAATTAATGCTAAGTACGAATTAATGCTTTAATTGATATAATTTACGTATAAAAATTTTGTATCAAAAAATCTTGTCAAGTAGGGATCAAATCATTAAACTTATTTGAATCGAAAAATAATGCGAAAGTGTAAAAAAAAAATTTTTTTTTTTTTTCTGGTTGCTACAGCGAAAAGCACTTTTCACGCAGTCATGCGCAGCATAATAAGGAGCTATTAAATTCAGATGCACATGACACACTGGATGATCGGCATCTTCCTATGACGTTCTATAATGTCGATCTGGAAAGGGTTCTTTGATCAATTCTGTTGTACAACCGCAATCTATATTCCGAATATATTCAACTTTTTTGTTATATAAGACATCATGTTTATCCACATTTTTCAAAAAATTCAAAGAAAAATTATTATATATAAAAATAATTAAGAAATTCACTCAAAATGTTGGCCACTACTGAAAATATTAATTATGATGAAATTGTTAAAAAATCAAATTACAAGTTTAATTTACCTATCGAAGAGCTAATCAATAACTCCAAAGCCACTCAACGAGAAAAACGAAACAAGAAACAAGTCATTCCACGTCCTCCAAACGCGTATATGATTTACAGAAGGAATAAAGCGGAAAGTCCTGATATAAAATCTTCAGGTCAATCATCTTCTAGTAAATCGATATTAATTGCAGATATGTGGAAGAACGAAACAGACAAAAATAAACAATTATTCTTTATTCTATCAATGCTAGCAGAAAAAAATTGTCCAAAAGATCTTAAATATGTACAGAAAAAACCCTCTAATACTTCAAAATCTTCCAAAACTTCTTCAAATTTTATATTGTCAAAATTGTAAAAATTTTGATTTTTTCATTTTTTCTTTCTGTAGTTAAAATTTTTATATAATTCTTTTTTTTTTTTTTNTTAAATTTAAATTTTTGTCTTCTTGTTTTTTAAAAAAGTTTAATTTTTAAAGTGCAATAGTGTGCAAAAAAAAAAAAATAAATAAAAATTCTTTACATTATTTGTAATTATTAAATACTGATAATTTCTAAGTGTCAATTATTAACATTTTTGAAATACGTCGTCTTTTCTCATCGAAGATTATTAAACTTATTAAAACAATTTTGATAAATGTTAGCGCAAATTTATGTCATAAACGCAGTACATTTAATATATAAATTAAAGTCCGCGGTCATAAAAGTTCACCGATTTTTTCAGCGAAAAGTAACCAAATTTTTTGACGTCACAATCGTCACATATTCATATGGCATTCATATAGTATAAAATATATTCATATAACATATCATAGACTATAAGATTAATGATCGAATTTCCAGAAAGGGGAACCTAAATTGAACCTGAAGTTCACGAAAAAAAAATTGTAATTTACCAAATAGTACCAATATCTTTTGATCAAAAAAATTATTGTGTCCGGATTTAGAAAGTGAATAATCATGAGCCATTTATTTAATATATGTACGTAAATGAAGAACAAAAGTTATCTTTGCCAATCCGGGTCTAATTAGTAAAACTTTCATATTATTATTTATTATCAGATTCAGGTCCCGAGTTCTTTTGTTTAATTATGAACAAAAAGGTAAACAAAAACAACAAAAGCAACAAAAGCAACAAAAGCAACAAAAGCAACAAAAACAACAAAAACAATAAAAGCAACAAAAGCAACAAAAACAACAAAAACAATAAAAGCAACAAAAACAACAAAAACGACAAAAGCAACAAAAGCAACAAAAGCAACAAAGACTGTCGATCCCGCAGTTTCGCACTCTATATTCCGGTTTTAATTTAATCCGAAACGACTGATAAAGTTTTTCATGAGAAAAACTTTACAGATTAAATTAAATCAAATCTTATGGAACCGGGAATCTTTAAATTCCTTAAGTGTTTAGTAGGTTTTTTTATTTTCTTTACAAAGAAAACGTTATTGTAAGTCATGGGGACTTGTTTTAAATATGTAAATCATGTTAATCCGTAGTTTTCAAGTAGTACACCAACCATGAGTGAATTAAATTATAATCGCGAATCTCACATCGCACAAAGTTACTGCGCTTTATTTTTTTTCCACCACACCTAGTGATGGTCACACCAATGTCTATAAGTTGACGCACCTCAATCTTCACGTGTCTCACTTGATTCACGTCACAGTCGTCACATGCCCAAAATCTATCGTAAAAAATTTTTATCGCCTACTTTGTTAATAATCGAATATAAGGTGAGTAAATTTAAAATAATTTTTTTTAAGACAACTAATCCCTTGTAACAGAGTGTACTGTGGTTTACTGCGCTTAATAACTAGGGTGAATCCTAATACGTATTAAAAAAAAATTGAAAAGTACGAAAAACTTGGGAAGGGATTTATCCAATTACCATCACGAGTTTATTCAATTGAATTGTAAGAATTGTAAGATCAATTTGATTGAAACGATAATCTTAAACAACTTTTGCTTTATTATAATCTCTTCCTTTTTTTTTATTTAGATAAAAATATTGGGGTTATGTAAGAAAGTGGCTAATACATATCACGTCAAATCATGTGACGAAGAGGTTTGTATCTATTGATGCATGGGCTTATCGAGAAATAATTGATTGGGCTAATCGAAAACTTCAAAGCCTCTAAAATCTCAAATCTCTCGAAATTCGACATGGAATTTTATGATTTATCAAGCATTTGGAAGAAATTATAAATATTCCAATCAAAAAAAATAAGTGTGAAGATCAATTGCTCCCCTTCTCTTTATTAAATTCTTGCGACTTTTCTAATATCTTTTAATAATTTTATTTATTCATATAGGATAATAATAATTTAATATTTTTAATAATCATATATATTTTCTTTTTCGTTTTTAACCAATATTTTCTTTTTTTTAAAAAAATTTTAATATTTGTCATTGTTTCTATTTCATTTCTTTACTAATTATAACTTTTTTACATTGTTATTCACCCTTTTTTTTTCTTTAAATCACTTAATTACTATAAATAAAACTCATTAATCATATAAATGTTATTATAAATTATGTATAATACGGCACAATCAATACACGCAATTAAAGTCCGCATCGACATATACCGGTTTTTTTTGAGCAAGTATTGTTTCATATGTAAGTGCGTTATTGTAGAATATATATTGTACCTTTAACAAAGAGAAAACGACCATAATTTTGCCACAGGGCTTGCCACGGGACTGTAAATTCCGTACCAATAATTTAATCGTATAATATGTATAGTAAAAAGGATTAACATTGATAAATTGCCAAGTTACCTAACATTACATATAACGGGTAATTCTGTGCAACCTATCATTTTTATTACCCACGGATATTTGAAACGCATAAAATAATTTTCTTCTTTTCAGTAAATGTTTTGATAAATGATAAGAATCATTTTTATAAAAAAAACTGGAATTTTACCTGTAATTTTAACAGTAATTAAAACAATTGGTGTTAAAGAAAACATTATTCTAATGTGTGTAGCTACGAAAAAATCAAAAAATTCAAATGTCATGTCATAAACACATGATCCCAGATACCCTGATAAGCAGATCATATTCATAATTAGGTCAAATAACAATTACGTTCTTAACCGTGTTACAAGTCGTATCACAACATTTTAATGAATCATGGGGCTTTGTTTATAGTAAATAATCTGATGTGATTAAAAGAAATAATTCGTTCATTTTTTTTTTTTTTTTTTAAAAAAAAAATCGAATTACAAGATACAAGAAAAATTTATCTTTTGTATTTTTGTAACACAAATTAGTCAGTAATCGTGCCATCGCGGATATTTATCCCGTTTTACAAAATCAAAATAAAATTCTCCTAACCAAAATTTCTTATAAAAAAGTGACATCTTATCAATTTAGTTTTATTCATCTCCCTTTTTTTTAAAAAAAAAAAAAATAATAATCAAATAAACAAATAAATTTAATTTACTTTATTATTTTGTTTATAAAGATGAGTGAAAAAAAACCCGATTATTATAACTCAGTAAATAATCCGATCACTTTCAGTTCGGATGAAGTACTTGTTAGGAATTACAACAATTTTAATTTAACATATGATGAACTTATAAATAATTCTCAAAATACCCGCCTCGCAAGAAGAAATGAAAGAAATGGAACTAATATTATTCCACGACGCCAAAATGCATGGGTATTATATCTCAGAGATAAAAGCACGGGTCGTGATGTAAGGTTCCAATTTAAACAAATTGCAAAGATGTGGAATGAAGAACCAAAGGAGGTAATAAAAGTATACGAAGCAGCAGCAAGATTGGCCGCGGAAAGACACATAGAAAAGTATGGCTCGGATTACAAATATAAACCGGAAAAATCTTTTAAAACTTCGAAATCTTTAAAAAATTCTTCAAATCTTATATTTTCAAAATTTTAAAATTTTGATTTTTTTTTTTTTCTTCTGTAATTAGAATTTTATATGATTTTTTTTTTATTTTGTTTACTATTTTATTCATTCGACATATTATTATTATTTTTAAATTTAAATTTTTAAAAAAATTTAATTTTTAAAAAGTACAATAATGTGCAAAAAAAAATAAAAATTCTTTACATTATTTGTAATTATTAAATACTAATAATTTCTAAGTGTCAATGATTAACATTTTTGAAATACGTCGTCTTTTCTCATCGAAGATTATTTCGGGATTATTAAACTTATTAAAACAATTTTGATAAATGTTGGCGCAAATTTATGTTATAAACGCAGTACACTTAATATATAAATTAAAGTCCGACTATCATAAAAGTTCACCGATTTTTTCAGCGAAAGGTAACCGAATTTTTTGATGTACTGTAAGTACTAATAAATTTCATATAGAATAGAATATATTCATACAACATAAATATATTCATATAACATAAATAACATAAATATGTTCATATAACATAAATAACATAAATATGTTCATATAACATAAATAACATAAATATATTCATATAACATAAAATATATGCATATAGCATAGAATATATATAACATAAAATATATTCATATGTCTTGGTAGATTTTTTGATAAGAAACATTTCTAAAAAAGGGAAACCTAAATTGGGTGTAGACTCTGAAAGGATTGAACCAAAAGAAACCTGAAGTTCACGAGAAAAAAATTTGTAATCTACCAATAATTTCATAAAATCTTTTTTGAACACAAAAAATTATTGTATCCAGATTTAGAAAGTGAATAATCACCATAAGCCGTTTTTTTAATAAATGTACGAAAAAGAACAACAAAGTTTTCTTTATAATTAGTTTTATTATTTTATTTTTATTATAAAAATAAAGTTGTATTAACATTATAAAATATTTTGAATCCAGATTCAGGTCATTTTGTACAAAAAGGTCGAACAAAAACAACAAAAGCAAACAAAAGCAGACAAAGACTGTCGATCACCGCAGTTTCGCACCCTATATTCCGGTATATTTCGAAACGATTGATAAGTTTTCCATGAGAAAAACTTTAACGGATTAAATTATTGAATTACAAATTTAAATTAAATCTTATGGAACCGGGAATCTTAAAATTCCTTAAGTGTTTAGTAAGTTTTTTTTATTTTTTTTTTGATAAGAAAGAAAAAATTAATTAAATGTTGTTACAAAAAAAATGTTATTATAAGAAAGTAGATGGTCATGAGGCCTTATTTTTAATTATGTATAAAAAAGTAAAACAGAAATATCATGCTAATCCGTAGTTTTCGCCATCTATATTCCGAAATAGTTAATTAAGTTTCGTATCATTAGAAATTTGAAGATTAATTAATTGAATTATAAAAATTGTAAGATTAATTAATTTGATTGAAACGATAATCTTAAACAACTTTTTAGTGCTTTATTATAATCTTTTTTTTTTTTATTTTGATAAAAATATTGTAATCTCAAGAAACGTGTTATGTAAGAAAGAGGCTAATACATATCACGTCAAATCATGTGACGAAGAAGTTTGTATCTATTGATGCATGGGCTTATCAAATTTTTTTTTGAGAAATAATCGATGGGCTTATCATCAAAAAACTTCAAGCCTCTAAAATCTCAAAATTTCTCGAAATTCGACACGGGAATTCCTAAAATTGTTTATGATTTATCAAGTATTGAAAGAAATTATAAATATTCCAACCAAAAAAATGTGTGTAGATCAATTCTCCCCTCTTCTTTATTAAATTCTTGCGACTTTTCTAATATCTATTAATAATTTTATTTATTCATATGGGATAATAATTTTATTTTTTTTAATAATCATATATATTTTCTTTCTTTTTAACATTTGTCATTGTTTCTATTTTCATTTTTTTTACTATTTATAACTTTTTTCATTGTTATTCACCCTTTTTTTCTTTTAAATTACTTAATTACTACAAATATTACTCATTAATCATATAAATGTTATTACAAATTATGCATAACACGGCACAGTCGGCACACACGCAATTAAAGTCCGCACATCATCAAAATATACCGGTTTTTTTTAAGCAAGGATTGTCGATTTAATTTAATTTTACATACGATATTTGTTTCATATATGAATGCGTTATTGTAAAAAGATTAATTGGTTTTGTAATTTTAACAAAATGAAAACCGAAGCTTTTTAATCAAAGCTTTGCCACAGGGCTTGCCACAGGGCTGTAAATTCCGTACCAACCATTTGATTATATGATATGTATAGCAAATTATCAACATGGTAATTCTGTGTGCAACCTCTCACTTTATACCCACATAAAAATTATTTTTCTTTTTAGTAGATGTATTGATAAAAAAAAAACTGGAATTTTACTTGTAATTTTACCCGTAATTAAAACAATTAGCGTTAAAGAAGATGTTCTTTTAAATTGTGGGCTACGGAAAATGAAAATTTTAATGTCATAACACATGATCCAGATGAGCAGATCATATAATTAGGTCAAATAACAATTACTTCGTTCGTGTGACAAATTTCCCATCATAATAGCTGATCTTTTTATATTTACGTGTATTATACATAACATCATGGGGCTTTTTTCGAAATAATTTGTCCCATTGTAAAAAAAAAAAAAGAAAATCTTAAAACAAGAATATTGCTATATAAAAAAAAAAATTTCGTGAATTACAAAGGTGAATTTTTCTTTTTATTTTCGTAACACAAATTAATCAGTTAATCGTGCATTTAACATTTCATCACGGATATTTATTCCGTTATGCCAAATAAAATTCTCCAACCAAAATTTCTTATAAAAGGGCCATTTATTTATTTTTTTTTTTTTCAAAAAAAAAGGAAATAAATAAAAAATAACGACAATTAAATTAAACAATTACTGCATTAATATCTTTATAATATGAGTAACAAATACTATCAATCAATAAATAATCCAATAACGTTCAGTACGGATGAAGTACTCGTTAGGAATTATAGAAAATTCAATTTAACATATGAAGAACTTATAAATAACTCTCAAAATACACGTCTCGCAAAAAGAAATAAAAAAAATGGTACCAATATTATACCACGACGCCAAAATGCGTGGATTCTTTATCTTAGAGATAAAAGCCGTAAAATGAAAGGATTCAGTTCTAAAGAAATAGCTAAAATGTGGAACGATGAGCCGAAAGAAGTGGTAGAAGTATATGAAGCGGCAGCAAGATTGGCCGCAGAAAGACACATGGAGAAATATGGCCTTGATTATAAATATTTGCCAAGAAGGACCCGTAATAAAAAACCAAAGATTTCTAAGACTTCCAGAATACCGATAACCCCACCAACTACACCACCATCAAAAAATTCCATACAATTTCCGATTGTGACACCTCCAGAATTTCAGATTCTAGAATTCGTACCTGCGCCATCAGAACCAGATAATATAAATGATGTTCAATTTCCAGATAATTTATTACAACTATGCGATATTATGCAACTTATGCAAAATTGCGAAGAATGCAGAAGCCTCTTGCAAGGTTTACCGAATATTAATTTTGAAAATCCGAGCGACCCTTTAGAAAGTCAACATAATGAAATATCTCAAAAATGGGCCAAAAATATATTATGAATTTTCTACTTTATTTTGTTATTCAAAATAAAATAGAGATTTTTTAGTATATTATTAGAACGTTTCTGCGATATTTTTATATATTGGCTTTAGATAGGGGGAATAATGTATATTTTTTTTTTGTATATAAGTTTTTTTCTTTTTCATCTTTGTAAAAACTAAAAATTTTTGTTAAAAAACTTTTTTTTAACAAAATATTTATAATATTTTAACAATACTTATTATGATATATGATGATGATAAGTTTTAAAAAGCAACGAACTAAGATGTATATACAGTTTAATATGATTTTTTTTTAATTACTTAAAAAATGGTCATGTAAATTTTGTTTTATTTTAAAAAAAAAAATAATTTTTTTTTTCTTTCCTTTATATATATTATGTAAAATTTATGATATTTTAAATAAAAAAAATATATTAT